TATGGTTAGGCATACTCTAGTGGTAGTGCCTTATGCGGTTAATCCCTTTCTCCAAGCAAACCCATAAATTGCAGCGTGCCAAACAAAATTCCCGAGTGAGAAAATTAATCTCCAAGGGTGACATTACTTTGCGTTGCCTCTGCAAGCCTTTTATCATCTTATAACATCATCATTTTCAGTCCGTGTGTGAAAACATTTAATTAGAGCAATGCTTTTCAACACAATGAATAAATTTACTTTGACAGCATACGAAGAATATAACTCTACTTAATGACAAAAACAACAACAACAACAACAATGGGAACCACACACACGCAGTACAACGTCGAGATATCCGATTAGGCGAAAACTGAGGTGCACGTACAGGCAACTACGTGAAAAGGTTGGACGTGGACATCCATTAAAAAAAACAATTATTTGGTGATTCTGCTGCATTGGCAATGATGCATGAGCCCAATTAGTAACAATAATATGAAATTAACCCAAAGAACTCCACACATTCGTCAATAACATCGTGACCATGAAAGAATGAATTGTAATGAGCAACGTTTCAAACAATGGTCCTCCTTAATAGCACATACATGACTTGTGTGCCTTGAAAAAGGACCATGCATAATTTTACGTGCTCATAAAAAAGGAGCCATTGCCCGAAACGTCGCACGATGTAGCTGTTAGGATAAAAAGAGCCTGTACACCATGCACGAATAACACGGACGGGAGATTATTTGTACAATGTTATTTATTTAATGTGAAATGTTTATTTCTTTATTTTATAAGGCGCGGGCGGACCCAACAAAAGTGCTTCAGAGCGCCGTACAGGGAAGACACGTGACGGTCGGATATGCGACGTCCTGTACTCGGTTATTTGACTTCAGGGCGCTCTGATGATGATGGTCTCCGAGCAGGAAGGCAAGGTCGATTAAACGTACTGAGCACGTGTGTCACCGACGCCTCTGTTTGAATTTTTTTTTTCACCAAGCCAGAGGTCGCTTTGGCGTGTTCCGGATTCAGAGCCCTGAGCCAGGCACCGCTGAGAGCACGGGTGGGATTCTGGGGTCCAACCACCTGGGATTGAACAGGCGTCTCAAGTGTAGTGTGTCGACAGTCTCAGAATATACACCTCCACACACACAATACTCGGTCACGTTACAATTTGTTCATATTTAATTAGGAAAAATTCCAGCTCAGACAAAATACATATATTTGACATGGTACGGACGTAGCAAAGAGCCCATCGCATTTGTCAATAACACTGCGGCCTTAAAAGGGAACAAACAATAACAGCCGACGTTTTGGGAAATGGCCCTTCATAGCATATCATGTCTTGAAAGCATAGTACGTAGCAAAGTCCGTTCCCCTAATGTGCAGATTTTTTTTAATCACTTGAAGGGATCTCAGATCTCAGAAGTAGCTCCGGCAGATCATCTTTCTCAAGCCATTCCCAAATACACACGGGCGAGGTCCACGTCTCTGGAAGAGATCCCAATGGCTGGGTTCTCCAACGTCTGGTGACACAATGCCACGAGCACAGGAGAAATACATAGTTTAGTTTTAGAATAATTGTTTACAAAATGTAGTTATTTGTTTACCTTTCCTATACTTTGTTGTTGCCACTGTCTGACCCGCCCCTACTCTGGACATCTGTGAAAAAGAGCTTCAAGGCTCATCAGATTTCTCCTACATAAATAAAGATTATTATTCAATTTTTTTTATTTAAAGCTTTCGTGACTGCAGGCATTCATATTCTTGGTTCTTTCGGTAAAGTCACGTAGAAGGGAAACAATAAAATAATAAAAATATAAAACAATAAAATTCTCGTCCATCTGAACAAACTGTCAAATCGCTCTCCATGGTGCTAACGCTAAAAAAACGCCACTTTTAAAAAAAATTCTTGCTGTGGTTTTCACACCTGATGATGATTGCTTGTGTTGCAGTCGAAACGTCGTGAGAATTTTATTGTTTTATATTTTTTTTATTTTATTATTTCCCTTCTACGTGACTTCACCGAAAGAACCAAGATTATTATTATTCTAATTGTGATACAGTCCAGCACTTGGTGCTAATCTTAGGCCGAGCTCGATAATAGCGAGGCCCTCAATCAAGGAGATCAATTTTGCCCTCCTTGGCCTAAGGAGAGGCTAGGTACTGGTGAGGTGCGTTCACAAAAACAGCCTTGATCCATATTTATCTTCTTGGTTCATTCAATAAAGTCACGTAGAAGGGAAATAATAAAATAAGAAAAATAAAACATAGTAAAATAAAATTCTCACGACGTTTCGGCCACAAAACAAGCAGCCGTCCTCAGGTGAAGAAACAGAGCTGTCGAAAATACAGCGCTCCAATGAACACTGCTAAGCTTGGCAGCGTCTTTTAAGCTGGGTGGGAGGAGCAGAGCGCCTTGACAAAGGAGTTTACATATCAATGCTAAAGTCTTCTGTTGATATGTAAACTCCTTTGTCAAGGCGCTCTGCTCCTCCCACCCAGCTTAAAATACGCTGCCAAGCTTAGCAGTGTTCATTGGAGCGCTGTATTTCCGACAGCTGTGTCTCTTAACCTGAGGACGGTTGCGTGAGAATTTTATTTTATTATGTTTTATTGTTATTATTTCCCTTCTACGTGACTTTACCGAAAGAATCAAGAAGATGAATCCCTGCAGTCACGAAAGCTTTCAATCGAAATTTGATCCATATTTGTTCGTTTGGGTGAGGCCACGTAGGTGGTATTGGCGATACGGAAAGGATCTGTGGCTACGGTGTTGTGACACAGAATGGAACAGACGCACCCATTGTTTAACTCGCTCACGTTGGCGCCATTGCTTTTTTGGGAGAAAATAAAATAGGACCTCGCCCAATAAACATGGAACGCTGCACCACAAAGTTGATCCAACGGTTGCAACCACATGCCGATGTTTAGTCCCAACGTTCGCATACTTTTTTAACTACTGGGTGGCTGGTTGTTACTGCTGGTGAATGATTTGTATAATCCCTCGGGTACAATTGCTGGCTCAGTGGGTTGGGGGTTAAGAAGTGGGGTGGGGGGGTATAGATCTAAAACATAAGCATGGGTTTTCAAAAAACACACTTTCTCAATTATCCGGTTCTAAAACTAAACAATGTTTAATTTTACCAGGTAAGGCCCACTGAGCTATGTAGCTCTTTTTCAGAAGCGACCTGCCCCCAAATAATAGCTCAACGAAGTGGCTTATCACGTGGAAATTTATAATAGGAGCTAAATACTCGAAACGCGCGTTTCTAAATTTATAGGGAAAAACTGGACAACCGGAAGAAAAAATCCACACTACGACGGTGATAGAGACATGCAAACTCCAAATATACAGAAGTCAGGATCGGGATTGAACCCACGACCTCCTGTATACCAAGAGAAATAGTTAACATCTCGCCACCGTGATGCCGTGTCTTACAAGTGAGCTGAATGAACATAGAAACGCAACAATAATTATAAAAAAAGATATATTTATTGAATTTGGCATTTGCGCCATCCTAATGACGCAAGGCTATCAGTAAGGTGCTACGTTGTTTCACAGTTGAGTAGAGTCTGCCAGTGGGTGGGCAATGTCACTCTGTGGTTTTTACCCACAGTCGTAATTTCTCAAAATTGGTTCAACCGGGACCGTGACTCCGGCACACATGGGCCTGCTTTTTAACATGTATTTATAACGGCACGCGATCTTTAACGTCCACTCCAAAAGATACACCGGCGTATTTAATGGGGCTGTACGCCACCGGAGCGCAGCATTCACCAGGGTGGCCTCCGGGGGTTAGAACCAAGAACCTCCACAAAATAAGCGGGCGGCCGCGCACCCGCTCAGCCACGTCACCGCCCAGCGCAATCAAACGAAACATTTAAAAGACAGATACGCACGGCGACGTCTAGCCACGAAACGTCATATACCCTTTAAAGTGCACTTACACCCGATAACATGTTTTTTTTTTATGAAATACCGTATCAAATAACGAGAAGCTACAAAGAGATTACGGTACATTCCAATTCTCGCGGGCCGACGACGAAACACTCGGCGCAAAGCCTTCCCGACAGACAGCGCAACACTCGCCGAACGTAACGAGGACCTCACAGTTCTACAAGCGACGAGCCGCGCGCCCTTGCCCTAACGGCACAGGCACAAATTCCTTTCAGGTTTCTGCGGTGAAGTTGCATTTTGCAACTCGAAGCTCGTTAGGGGGCCGTCCATAAATGACGTCACACGATTTTGGACGATTTTTTTACCACCCCCTCCCCCCCCCCCCCCTCGTCACACGGCGTCACGAAAAGTCAGACCCCCCTCCTCCCACCTCAAATATGACGTCACAAAGCTCTGCTCTCCCCACCCCCCCCCCCAAAATAAAACATGCTTCAAATCGCTTTAAACTATTGTCATTGTAGTGCGTATTTAATGTGGCGCTGCACTCTGATGTTGTAGGAGAAAACATTTATAAAAAAAAAGTCTATTTAATTAAGTAGAATGTCATTAGACCTCCTTTGTTAGTACCAAAATATTACTATAGTGTTTTTCCCCTTTTTTCTGGCAACAATTGGTGCTCGAGCACCAATTGGGTGGAGGCTCAAAAGAAAGCCGTCCCTTGGTGTGGACCAATGAGTTTCAAGGACAATGCATCATATATTATCATAGTATGTTTTTTGTTTGCATTTTGACTGCAGGTATTGTGGTTAATGCAGTAACATGAATCCTTGTAAAAAGGTTTCAGTTTTGTTGCCAGAAAAAAAGGGGAAACAAACCTACTATTATAAGTAGAACGTGTTGTCTATATTTATTTAAAGTTGCGCATTTTGATGTGACGTCATATTTCTCAAACCCCCCCTCCCTCGTCACACGTCGTCACAAATGTCTGAGACCCCCCCTCCCCCCCAAGGTGCGTGACGTCATTTATGGACGGCCCCTTAGACGTGAGACAACATAATTCGAAATTGGTTTTAGAAACCGCCGAGTCGCGAATTAAACTGGGCGTCGGTGCAAGGGGGCATCACAGCTCGTCGGATTTCTGCAGGGGTAAATCAAGAATCATGATATGCATTTGCACTGGAGGAATCAGATGAGCTATAAAGCTCTTTTTCACGTGTCGTAACTTGCTAAAGATTCTAATTCTCATTCGTTCGTTCAATTTTTTTTTATATATATATAGTAAAAACTCGCCCCCGCTAAAGAGGACGTGGCAATACAAGTAGGCGACGACGCAGTCAGAGGGGAAAATAAACACCTGCAGTGACATTCGTGTTCATGGAAAGCAATCTCGGCGCATGGCGAGGTGCGAATCCGTCTCCTAATAATAACGACGGCTCGAATTGTTGAACGTGTCATTACTAACAAGCGATGTTCTCACTGTACCTGGGGAGCAGACTCCTACGTCTCATTATTCTTGCAATTGCCATGCGGATTCTCAGATGCAAAATGTAACAACAACAAAAAATACTCCAGCTCGTTCGTAATTCTGCATCTGGGACAATATTTATAGAATTTGGAATAAAAAAAATATTCGTGCGCACCTTCACCACCTCCTCCCCCCTTTGAACACAAAGCCTCGCTATGGTTGCCAATAATAGTAAGTCGCCGTGAATTATTTAACAAAAATAGTATTACACGGAGGCTCCCGCGACCAATATCATCCATAATCGAGGTATTTTTGGGTTAGATCGCGTACATATGTAAATGTGTCGTTAAACCCGCCACCACCCGACACAGCCAACTAGTAAGGGTTGTCACGTAAACAGAACGTGGCCAATTCGTCACTAATACAGCACACCCGGTGTGTTGGAGAGCCAAGCCACAACATTTACAACCTGAGCACGACGTTTCGCCAGTAATTACGTGACAACCCTTGCTAGTTGGCTGTGTCGGGTGGTGGCGGGTTTTAACGACACATTTATATATTTACGCGATCTAACCCAAAAAAAAAACCTCTTGTGAAAAATAGCAACGTTAACCAAAAAAACGCTCCACTGCACCGGCTACCCCGTGTTGGATGAAAGAGATACCAACACTGGGAGAATCGTAGAGCGGGAGTCACGCACCACAGCCGACATCAGTGGCGACTTCACTTTTACCTTTTTATATTTCCTAACTTGCTTACCATTTTCTCTATTTTGCACTCCTATCGTTGTGTTTTTATTGTATAGTTTGCTGTTTTTAACCTTGCTGACCGCGTACCCCATGCTGGACATTTGTTGGGGGGGGGGGGGGGGGGGGGGTGGGGGAGAAAGCTTCATAGCTCATCAGATACCGACCATTACTGACCAGTGTGTGGTGAAGTATGGTCAATCTATTCCCATCCCGACGCGGTGGGTGCAGGGGCGGCCTTCATCCAGTAGCGAATTGGCAAATGGCTATAATAATAATAACAAATTTATCTGACCGTCGTTTGTATTAAGGCTGAACCGCAGCTTTTCATTGTCGATCTCATTTCGACTCTTGCCGCTCGTGTTGAGCAATGCCATTTTTTTAAGACGGTGGCCACATTGTCGAATGCTCTGCCAACTGCTCTCGCACGAGTCAGTGTTGTGCGGTGAGCGGGGAGGGGGAGGACAAAGCGTTGAATGTAACGGTGCCAACGGTGGCCTCTGTTTGTCCTCTGATCAAAGAGACGATGGCCGGCTTTGACCTCTTTTTTTCGTCTCGGTCACAATGTTGGCAGTCTCGTGTGCATACGAAGCCACCGCAGGTACACGTGGCCCTCTCAGCCTGCAGTGACCACGCCGCCGAGTTCACAAACCCACATTTTTTATTCATTCTTCCAAACCCATAAATGCCAGCAGTCATCATGATGATGCTCATCATCAGCCAGGATCCATCTCCACTGCTGGATGAATGCCCCCCCTCCCCCCCCACCTCCACCCCCACCTCCACCCCCGCTCCACCCCCCTTCGACCCTCCACCCCCCATGTCGTGCCCATCCATGCGTGGTCTCGTGATGCAGCGATCCATCGAAGCTCGTGCACCGTGAGTCGATCCCATCACTCACATCTCCGCCAGTGTGTCGTCCTGTCCTCTCGGGCGAGTTTCCCGTCTCTCGCTGCGGCTCTGTCGAAAGCCTCTCGTGCGTCGGCCATTGTCCCATTCTCACGACGAGCGTCCTGCCCAAGCCCCCTCGCTCTTTTTAACTCCAAAAAACGATCTCCTCTTCGCGGTCAATGTGATGCCGCTCATCTGCACGTGTGCACAGAGCCGTGCGTTGTTCTTCCTGTCTCTCGGTAGCGTTCCCAAGTGTGGACCTCTCCGTTCTTTTCCGCGCACTTATCGGCCTTCGTTCCATTGTGCCGGCGTTCGCGTGAGCACAGCCGATGACGCGCCCAAGGTAAATGCACGTGAATGTAAATTTCGAGCGAAAAAAACACGAGTAAAACGACAAAAGTCACGGCCAAAAAGTTTGCTGAGACACAGGGTTGGCTGGTTCTTCGTGCAGGCACTCAGTAGAGCTCCATCATTCCACATTCGGTACGTGTGTGTGTGTGTATGTTGAACTTCATTCACACCGTACGCAGCAAACCGTGCTAATCGGATGTGCGGGGAAAGGACAACAGACTAAATACAAAAAGCAGTTCTAAATAAATTAGTTTTCAGTCTTGATTTGAAAGTGCATAGCTCCAGTGGCTTTCTAAGGAAGAGCGTGCCAGACGGGCGCAGAAGAGCAATCTGAAAGCGTGCGATGCGGTGACCATCTTTGTTCGACAGTGAGCCAAAAGTCGCTGCGAGGGCGACCGGGTGAGTTCGTGTGATGATGGTTTATGTTCCTTGACGAGATCAGCGAGTTATTGTGGTTCATTTGTGTAAATAACTTTGTGTGTGTAATGAGTGCGACCTTTATAATGTATTCGTTCAGCAACCGGAAGCCAATGCAGCTCAGCGAGCACCGGACGGACACGGTCGTGTCTTGCACTACCCATCACGACACGTGCCAAATAATTTTTTCACACACACCGCAGCTTGCTAAAGTTTTTGCCAGACCTCCCGTAGAGTAGTGAGTTGTAATAATCGAGCCTTGTCAAGACTACGCTACACACCACCGTGTTGGTTATGTCACGACTCAAGAGTGGCCGAATGAGTCGTAGAGCCCACATATATTGAGAATATGTTTTCCCACTTTTTTCTGGCAACAAAACGGTGTTCGATCAGGGGACGCCTTTTGGCCAGAGGACGCCTTTTGGACGCCTTTTGGCGTCCTCTGGTCGAACACCGTTTTGAGACTAGGCTCAAAAGAAAGCTGTCTCTGGTGTGGACCAATCAGTTTCAAGGACAATGCATATATTATCAGAGTATGTTTTTTTGTTTGCATTCTGACCACAAGCATTGTGGTTAATGCAGACATGATTCCTTGTTAAAGGTTTCAGTTTGGTGTTTTAACATCTTAACACCTCTTCTTGGTTCTTTCGGTAAAGTCACGTAGAAGGGAAACAATAAAATAATAAAAATATAAAACAATAATATTCTCACGACATTTCGACTGCAACACAAGCAATCATCATCAGGTGTGAAAACCACAGCAAGAAAATTTGAAAAAAGTGGCGGTTTTTTTTACGTTCTTATCCCGGAGTTTGTTGAAGGATCTCAACGTTATGTGGAAATCCTCCCTGTAGAGGCGGTTAAATTGTGATTTAAAGCTTTCGTGACTGCAGGGATTCATATTCTTGGTTATTTCGGTAAAGTCGCGTAGAAGGGAAACAATAAAATAATAAAAATATAAAACAATACAATTCTCCGGGATAAGAACGTAAAAAAACCGCCACTTTTTTCAAATTTTCTTGCTGTGGTTTTCACGCCTGATGATGATTGCTTGTGTTGCAGTCGAAACGTCGTGAGAATTGTATTGTTTTATATTTTTATTATTTTATTGTTTCCCTTCTATGTGACTTTACCGAAAGAACCAAGAATACGAATCCCTGCAGTCACGAAAGCCTTAAATCAAAACCTGTTTTGGTGTTAGAAAAAAGAGGAAAACCTATTCTCATATGTTGGTACTGGCAAAGGAGGTCCCATGACCCAGATATATTGTCCAAATATGTCCCTGTTCAGAGATAATGTCGATGAAATTCACAGAAAGCAATTTGGGGAATTCTTTGGATCAGCTTGCCTTTAGTCTTATTAATGCCACTTATCCTCGTTCATTTTGTTTTCAAAACAATTCAGATAGAACGCCCGCATAATATTTTAGGCAAGCATTTTAATTAATAAATAAATAAACACGCGTTCTGTGCTGCACACACAATACCCTGTCGTCCAAATTATGCCGTAATTTGAAATCCTACACAAGAGCTCTACCCACTAATAATGCTCGTCAAAAAAAGATAAAGGCAAAATTGCTTCTTGTGCTGAGCTCTTCCCATTCTTTGACGATTGGATGAATGTCACGAAGTATATATATAAAAAAAACATATTGGCGGTACGAGAGAACGCGGCTGGATGCAGCGTGGTGCATTGTTCTCCCCGTCATGGTACGACTCAGGCTCATGCTTCGCTTTTAGAATCAATTCCTTTGTTTTCATTGTGGTTGAAAGTATAGGGGCCTCCGGTCACCCGAGCAGTTCCACGCACCCACGGCATTACACCGCATACAAACTGCAAAGCAACATTGATCCTTACGCACCCAATTACCAAGGCGTGTATCGTGAGCTTACGAAGCAACATCGATGGGACGCGTCATTCCACCCTTGCCATCTGGGTTTTGTTGTGATGCCGCGTGGGCCGGGGAGGGCTGGCGTCTGTCCGCATTACGACGCTGATCCACGCGCCCTCCCGAGATCTCACCCCGCGCTTTGAGGGGACCTCGAGTGCGGTAATTTCGATGTTCGCCTCGTTCATTGTAGCACAATAATCCGCGTGGCTATTTTGTTTTCCCCCCAGCGTGATAGGGCCGTGCTGGGCGCAGCTTTCGACGGCTCAATTTGCAAGAGACAGGGTCGGCGACCGAACCCAGTGGCGAGATGTTAACTCCTTCGCCTGGTATGCACGACGTTGTAGGTTCCATCCCGACCCGGTCTCCTGTACATTTGGAGTTTGCGGTGTCTCTCTCCCCATGGTCGCGTGGATTTTTCTCCGGGTCCTCCGGTTTTTCCCTCCACATTTACAATCAACGTCACGCGTTCAAAGTATTTGGCTGCTATAAATGTCCACGTGATAAGTCACTTCGTTGAGCTATCATTTGTGGCCAGGTCGCTTCTGACAAAGAGCTCCATAGGTTAGTGGACCTTACCTGGTAAAATAAAAAAAGATGTAATAGTTAGTTAATACGTTTGTTGGTCTGAAAGGCCACCACGCAGGAGACATCTGGACATATCCCGCTACATCCCACCCCATTCCCCTACCCCCAACCGGCGTGGGCTACTTCCCCAACGTGAATATTGCCCCAACGTGTCTGGAAAGGAAAACAGTTGCGATGCCGTACGGTGTCTGCGTTTATCTCTGGCGTTTTTTTGACGACAAGAGGTACAATCGTGGTGGATAAATCGAGGAGTAGAGGTAGAGAGGAGCCGATTTCAATCCGAGCCCCTCTTGTGGGCCACGGAAACATGGCCGACTAAATAGGTGGCAGCACAAAATGGGATCGCCACCCGTGCCCGTCGCAGCAAAGAAGGCTGCCCGCTTCGATCCCCGATTGGGTGCGCCGTTCCATGTGCAGTTTGTATGTTTTCTGTCTCTCCCCTACCTGCTCTGCATGGGTTTCCTCCGGGTTCTCCGGTTTCCTCCCATAACTCAAAAAGAAAGAAAGTAATTTCTCTTACTGGCATTGGCCAAAAACGCGGTGAAGCTGAAAAATTACTTGAAAATTACTCAATTAGGAACTCACCCACAAACAGCATCAGCAGCATCGCCACCCAAATGAGAAACACTTGGCAGGACCCTCCTTAAAGAAAAATAAATAGAGTCGTGAGACTCGAGCGCAGCTTTCCTGGGTGAGGGGGCTGGCGGGGTAGATCGATGGTGGGGGGGGGGGGGGGGGGTAAACGCATGAGCGAAGAAGGTGACAGAGCGGCTGTCACTCGGACGAGGAAAGCGAAGTACGGCGCGCGAGACTTCGTGACGCCGCCCCGGGCGCCGCTGCCGGCGACCGCGCCACGAGCGTGGGCACCGCCGCCGCCGCTGCCTCCACCGCCGCCGCCGCCGCCGCCGTGCCTCGCCGGGCCCGCCCGCTCGGCCTCATTGTGCGACAGCTCCGTGGTGGCCACGTCGACACGGTTGGCCACCTGCAGCACGTGCACCTTCGTGACACGGCCGCGTCGGTGGTGGTGATGGTGGTGGTGGTGGTGGTGGCGGCGGCGGTGGCAGCAGCAGCGGCGGCCGCAGGCGAACGCGAAGGCCTTGCGGAAGCCCTTGCGGAAGTGCTTGCTGACGAGCGCGTAGACCAGCGGGTTGAGGCACGAGTTGGCGTAGGACATGCAGTGCGAGAGCAGCCTGAAGGCGTAGGTCGCGTGCGTCAGGGGGAAGTGGCCGAACCAGAAGTAGAGGATGAGCACGTGGTGGGGCAGCCAGCAGGCGCAGAACAGGCCGGCCACGATGAGGATCATGGTGGTCACCTTGCGCTTGGCCCTCTTCGACTCGGACATCTCCTCGAGCGGGTCCACGGCCGTCCACAGGTACTTGAGTGTGAAGGCGTAGGCCAGGCCCAGCACGGACACGGGCACCAGGTAGCCGCACACGAACGTCACCATGTCCATGAGCTTGCGCGGCTCCTTGGCCCACACGGGCATGCACATGGACATGTTCTGGAAGGTCACGGCCTGGTAGTAGCTGAGGTAGGGGCCTGCGAACACCAGCGCCAGACCCCAGATGGCCGCGATGACGGCCGCGGCCTTGCGTGGTGTGCGTAGCTCGCGCGAGCGCAGGGGGTAGCGGATGGCCAGGTACCTAGGGTGGAGGGGAGGGGTGCAGGGAGGAGGCACGACAATGCCCAGTCAGGTCACTCTCACGCGCTATCAACCGCCGAGTCGAGAGAGGGTCAAGAGGGGGTCCGTGGTCAATGTCGTCGATGCCATCGGCCACTCGTCCTTGCGTTCTCTCTCTCTCTCTCTGTGCTGATGGATCCCGTGGTCGACACCCGGCCTCCAAGGTCTGCTCTAACATTCTCACCTCCACCACCCGGCTTGAGGTGTTCTCCGGGGTTGCTGACCTCTATGTGCGTAGGCATGTGCGCATGTGTGTTGAACCTCTTTCCCACCGTACGTGGCCAACCGTGCTTATCGGAGGTGCAGGGGAAAGACAACAAACTACACAAAAAGAGCAGTTTTAAAGAAATTAGTTTTCAATCTCGATTTAGAAGTTCATAGCTCAAGTGGCTTCCTGATATTGAAAGGAAGAGCGTTCCAGACGGCCGCAGAAGCAGACGCTAGGTCCGTTTCAGCGTGCTTAGTTATAACTCTCATATTCCGTCCTTCCAAGAAATTCCCAGCATCATCTCCATGCACCTGTATTTATAAAGCCAGAATCATTGCTCGTTGCTGTGCTAAATCCTGGCTTATACAGTATGTCAATACAGGCATTTATGCTGTCTCAAATGCCCTTGTCTTAACACCAAGGTTACTTCTGTAAATTATTGTTTAAGAATAATGCCCTTAGTTTATCGAGAAATGCCTTACTGATTTGTACAACACTTTTTTCAGAAGGCTCCTGCATTGGGGTATTCGGCCAATTTCATGAATTTGTCTTTGGCCAATTGATAAGATGTGGGAAGAGACTGGAATGCCAGTTTATACCAAACATAATACAAGAAGGATAACGTTTAAAGCTCCACACAAATGCAAGCAACCTACTTGCTGTGCCACCAGGATAATTCTCCACAAATCTGGCTGCCGCCTGATGAAGCTAGTTGTAATTACTGTCGAAACATCGTACTCAGATTGTAAATGTTGTGGCTTGGCTCTCCAACACACTGGTGTGCTGTACTAGTGACGAATTTCGATTTAAAGCTTTCGTGATTGCAAGGATTAATCTTCTTTGGTTATTTCGGTAAGGTGACGTAGAATGAGAATAAAATAATAAAATGACACAATAAAATTCTCACGACGTTTCAGCCACAACGCAAGCGGCCGTCTTCAGGTGAAAGGTACAGACCTGTCGGGACGACAGAGCTTCAATGAGCTCTGTCGTCCCGAGCTCTGTCGTCCCGACAGGTCTGTACCTTTCACCTGAAGATGGCCGCTTGCATTGTGGCCGAAACGTCGTGAGAATTTTATCGTGTTATTTTATTCTCATTCTAGTGACGAATTGGCACGTTCCCTTTACGTGACAAACCTTACTAGTTGGCTGTGTCGGGTGGTGGCGGGTTTAACGACACATTTATATATTTACGCAATCTAACCAAAAAAACGTGCATTATGAAAATGAACATTATTAAAAGTGTGTTGTTGTTGTCGTTGTTGTTGTTGTTCCGGAAAAATGGAAAGGAACCGAGAGTAAGACCGAACAGAGGATGGCTTGATGACGACACGAGAGATTGGTGCCATAAAAGATGTGGCACTAACTTGAGCACATTGGCACGAGACAGACGGAATAAGTGGAATCAAATGACAAAATGTGCAGGGGACACCTACGGGGCCTGTCTTGCCCATGGATCGTGATGACGATGATGATGATAATGAATTAAACGAACAACAACAAATACAAGGTTTTTTTTGGTTAGATCGCATAAATATAATTGTCGTTAAACCCACCACCACATGACACAGCCAATTAGTAAGGTTTGTCACGTAAACAAAACGTGGCCAATTCGTTACTTGTACAGCACACCGGTGTGTTGGAGAGCAAAACCACAACATTTACAAGCTTGGTACGACGTTTCACCAGTAATTACAACCTGACATCCAGGCTGTATCGGGCGGTTGTGGCGGGTTTGACCGACACGTTTATATTTACGCGATCCAACCCCAAAAAAAAAAAAAACCTGTATTATGGATGATATTCGTCGCGAAATCCTACCGCGTGTTAAACGAACAACGGCAAAGTTTAAACGTTGATCCGGGCCGCCCCGAGAAATCCGCGTGCCGCGTGTGCACCTGTCGACGGACACGGCCGCCAGCGTGAAGCTGGAGGCGAACATGGTGAGGAAGATGATGAAGTGCACGGCCTTGCAGAGGAAAGAGCCGAAGATCCAGCCGTCGAGCGTGTAGATGGTCGCCTGGAACGGCACGCAGAAGAGGATGAAGCAGAGGTCGGCGACGCTGAGGTTGAGGATGAAGATGTTGGTGGTGGTGTTGCTGCTGCCGCGCTGCCCGCTGCACAGCAGCACGATGATGACGAGGCTGTTGCCGAAGGCGCCGAGCAGGAAGATGAGCAGGAACACGACGGGCACCGTCACGCTCTCGGGGGACAGCCCCTGGGGCTCCGACGCGTTCCAGAAGGCGACCATGGTGGTGGCGCGATGGGGAGTTGGGGGGGGGGGGGCGGGGGCCGCCGCCTTCGCGGCGGACCGGCGTTCCTCGCGGGGGGGTCCTCCTCGTGTGGATCAGGCTCGAGCAGAGACCGCTGGCTCAGGAACTCGTGGGGCTCAGTTAGCTGTGTGAGCCTGGATCCGAGTCAGAGTCCTTGTCGGGGGTCAGAGTTATTGTGGGGTCAGAGATCCTGTGGGGTCAGAGACCCTGTGGGGTCAGAGTCCCTGTGAGGTCAGAATCCCTGACGAGCTGCAGTCCTCGATCTCGTGCGATGAAAACGCCCGTGGGGCTACTGCCCACGTGGCGTGAAGATCGTGCAGGAGGCATTGGACTCTCCTGGTCTCGCCAGCATCCCTGTCCACGTGGAGTCCGGGTCCCCCACTGAGACCCGAGAGCTCTGGGGAGCTCTGGGAACGGCTCGACACGGGATCCGCGTCGGACTCTCTTGGGACCGAGCTCCACGCGCCTCTTGGTCTTTCGCCGCAGCGGAGAAGAAGACCCCGCGCGCTACGCAGCGGATCCACCACCGCCAGCAACCACGACGGCCACCAACCTTCGACCACCACCGGTCGACGCCGCTCCGTCAAACAGGACTGCAAGTGAATGACAATCCATCCGTTACTAACGACGGCACGTCGAGAAATGGGCAGTCCGCGAAAATGACTCTCGCATCGCACACGTCACATTTGCATCTTCCATGAGACCCACCCCCCGTTCCGTCTAGAAGCTAATGGACCAATTGCAATGGAAGGAGCTGGTGTGGTTATAGGGATACCCACTGCGTGTCCTGACCCGTGACCTAACCTTGTGACGGGCAAAGGGCCGCTAACCATGCCTGACAGAGGCAGCTCACGCTCAATGCGATTGGCTGGCCTTGTGCTCTGCAAACTGAGACAAGATTAGATCTGCCCCTGATTGGCTAATTTCTGCAGGGAATTATCGATCAAAGCACCGTACAGTGGACCGGCTGTCACTCAATCATTCTTTAGGTGCACAGTACGCTTCACATGAAGATACAGGTGTCTTCGGAGCACCCTGCATAAAAGGTGTACGTGATTGCCTGACGTTGGGAGTAATATAGTATTAAAGTCGCTTCCTGCAGTGTAGTTAAACATAACGAACAAAAGTGCAATTGTACCATGTGCAATATGAGAAGGCTTGTGCTTTAATGCAGGTCCTGTGGCATCATTTGCAGAAGGCTTTTGTGTGTGCTTGTAATATGCATGTCAAAGACCAAATTCCAAAACTACAATTATCTACACGGACCCTTTGAAAATAAAATCATAATGCGTGCATGGAATTTTGTGCTGACTAAATAAAATCAAAATACAAAAGATATAACGATGTTTATACCAGTGCCCCGCAGAGCACCCTGCTAAAATATGTATTTTTTCAAAGAGTTTAATTTAAATTATTATTTCCGAGGAAAGCTTTGGCAAGTCTCAAGATTATTTTTCAAGAGGGTCCTTAATTTCTCACTCGATAATTTCCTGAACACCGCTACAGAGGCTGACTTGGTGGAGGGATCATCGGTGTAAGGCACTACCACTAAGAGTACACGGCACGCATATCCACAATAATCCTTTTATTTTTAATTGAACCCAAAATTCCTCATAATCCTATGAACAGGTTGATTTAAAGAACAAGTGAGGATAAACTAAAACGAGATAGATGCGTGTGTATGTTTGTAGAACTTATTTCGCACTGTACGTAGCCAACCGTGGAAATCGGAGGTGCGGTTGCGTGGATTTTTCTCTGGCTCCTACGGTTTGTATTCCCTCCACATTTAGAGACACGTGATGCGACGTGAAAAAAAAACCTCATTTCCAGCAAACAGCGTTCCGGAAAAAAAGTTCCGGCTGAAATTCGGCACTGGTACTGAATTTGGGATGTTGGGCAGGATTGATAAGCGTTCAGCTTCGTGCGGGAGCAAACCGGAGAACATGACGAGAGTGACACCGAGCATTGGGCATTTCCATGGCCACATCTCGCGGACCCCCCATCTGGCAAAGCCCTCCCTTGGTGGTGGCGGTGGTGGTGGTTCTGGTGGCCATCCCCACAGAAGCCCTGACCAGGCTCAAACCCCCTGCTTAGTTTCTGAGAGGCGACAACCAGCGGGTGACATTGGAGGGTGGAGCGTGGAATGGACCCACTGCGATGACGTCGATCGCCACGTGCAACTGCTGGCCAGCTGGCGGTGGCGAAGTATGAACTCCCTCGCCTGGTACGCAGGAGGTCGTGGGCTTCGTTTCGACCCCGACGCCTGTGTATTTGGAGTGTGCGTGTCTCTCTCTCACCCCGTGAGTCGTGTGGATTTTTTTCTCCGGGTCCTCCGGTTTTCCCCTTCCACATTTATAAACGTGCGTCTGGAGTGTTTGGCTACTGTACATTTCCACACGATGAGCCACTTCGTTGAGCTGTCATTCGTGGCCAAGTCGCTTCTGAAAAAGAGCTACATAGCTCAGTGGGGCCTTTTACCTGGTAAAGTAAAAAAAAATGTTAATAGTTTATTTTCACACTGGTTTACCCTACCCCACCCCCCCCCACCACACTCCTTCACGGCATTAACCGACGTATCAGACCCACAGGGAAAAATAGGTTCTGGCAGATGAATCAACCCCCTCGCGCCATCGCCCAATGCGAGGGCGGGCTTCGCCACACCGCGCTCCATCCCCGTGGGAACAAAGACAATAGCTCGAATGAATGGCAATTTCGATGGCAGCTTCCAAATCAAATTCATAATTACCGTGCAGCTGCGTGTCGAGAATTTATTTTGGCAATTTCAAATTTCGACCGCGTAGGTTTTCGCAGTTTGCGCTGGATAAATTCTCTCAAACGTGTTTACATGAGGTTGTTACTGCGCGCTTATTTGCCACGAGGTCTGACGTTTCACAAGCACGTTGCTGGCATCGTCTTCAGGAAGAACCCCGAAAAACACATCGGAGAGCCGCTGCGACACAACCGAAAAAAACATGCAGCAGTTTTAACTTTTTTGTCGATCCAATAACTCTTAATGAATGATTGGCAACCCATGCAGGGTCAGATTAACCCAGATCTAATTTCTCGCCTCAGCAAGACGTAATGCTGCCGGCGTCGAGATCTTCAGAGAATCGTAACAGGGAGTGTGGAGAGAACGAGCTTTTGGCAGCCTGGACACGGCAGACGCACCCGGATGACCTTTTAATTTCCTTTGCGGGCGCTCACATCGAGCATGAAATAGCGAATGGCGCTGTCAACGGCACGGACAAAGATGAAGAGGAAAACGACAGGAACACGGAGCGCCCCGGCGTCATCCGGTGATTAAAAAAACAACATTAAGTGGTCAAAAAGCGGATGGGCTGTAAACTTTGGTTACACACGGGCAGGCTTTGACCTCCACCGTGCACCCGGTCCACTTCGTTTAACGCTCATCTGCTGTTCCAGAGCATCAGCACGCGCGGTCGCTGTGCGTGCGCACGTGCGGGTGCCGCGTCTCGATGCCTCCCCCGAGGTCAGCGGCTCTCGACTCGTGTTGTGTGCCCCCCCCCCGACCCTATCCGCGGGGCGGAGCTGGGGGAAGAGTTTATTGCCTCTCGAGGGGGGGGGTAGGGGGAGGTGCAACTGCGTCATGGATGCCGTGCAGGATACATTAAAACTAAACTCTTTATTTTTTTTAAATAACCAGGTAAGGCCCACCGAGCTCCACAGCTCTTTTTCAGAAGCGACCTGTCCACAAATGATAGCTCAGCAATGTGGCTTATCACGTGCAAATCTATGGCAGCAGCAAAACCAAATACTCTAAACGCGCCATGTTGCGGCGGAAAAACACTCGAACGCGCAACATGAAATGAACGCCTTCCCGAGTTGACCGGGGTCGTGGACACGTGACCTCTCTGTACATTCGTGACCTGGCGTGGGAAATGCGGGGACCGGTGGTCTCAGGCCACCAAGGTTGAGGCCTACCGCCGTGGGCCTCCACCTTGGTCACCAACCTCTCGGTGCGGCTCCGGTGACTGTCTTGGTGAACTGCCCTCTCCCACCCCACCCTCGTGCCACGCATCGCAGCCTCTTAGCCTGGCTATGTCTTTCGAGGTTTCCTGCCACGTTTGAGTCCGAACCTCCAAGTTTCTCCTCCGTCCCTTCCATGCAGGGTCAGAAGAGAGGGGAGAGGCAGGTGGGGGCGAGTCCAACGGGGTAAAGGCAACGCACAGCCATGCGCTGTGAAATCAACACCAGGACATTTATTTTATTAAATGTCACTTTTGGCTGGAGGGACCAGTGGCAGATCCAAGTTGTGACGGGAGGGGGCGGGGTGATGGGGGAGGTTGCCCCCACGTGAGATCTTAAAAATTGCTATTTTATTGATGTTCACCAGAGAAAATATGTTGAATATTATTTGTAAAGATATATAAAATGTAGAGCTCTATTTAAATTATAACTTTTAGCACCCCGTTGGCGAGTTTCTCGATCCGCCTCAGGTGGGAGCCTGACGTTCCACTGTTTATCGCATGAGGGGCACTGCAAATTGAAGAACGATGATGCGTTTGTCAAGAGCCAGCATTTTCAGAGCTGCAGTAGCACAGATAGAGAAAGAGAGAATTCCATCCGTCTCGCGGCAGCTCTTGGCCGCTATCTCGCGGTCCGCCCAGTGCACCGCATTCGATTGCATACGGCCGCGGCAATGTTTTCACGGGCTAAATGCCAATGTCGAGGTCTGGGAGCCACGACCAGCAGGCTTCGGGGGGCTTCGCTATTCCTCCTTCACCGAAGGAGAGCGGACTACTGCGGTTGACCATTCACGCAACAGGTTTGGGGAGATGGTGCCATTCTCGCAGCGGCTCCGCGTGGTTTCACGTTACCTTAAAAAAAACACACGCACGCAACTAATACCGTCATCCGGGCAAAATGGGCGTCGTTCATTAGAACAACAACAACAAATGTGCCCAAAAAAGTAATCGGCTTATAACGCCGGGCATCACAAGGCTCCGAAAGCCACACAATACCCACATGGGGAGGTTGAGAACCACAGCCGTAGAAGGGAACGGCGAGCTTGAAGTGGCTTCTCCTGGAAGCTCGCCCCAACCCCCTCCCACGCCGATCCTTGCAAGAGCGTGGGTCCAACGGAGCCGAGTTTGTTGAGGGCGCAGGGCAACAAAACACGGAACGTCGTTTCCAGCCCACCGGTGGCAAAGTTCTGAAGTGTTATTTCCGTGCCGGTTTCACACAAGTCCCAATTAGGGCGCCCGTCGCACGGATGTGGGGGAGGCGAGGAAGCGGGGGGGGTGAATCATATCGATTCCTGGAAAAACCCTCAGTGGGGCAAAAATATCTATTCCGTTGGAGGAGCGGCTGACACTAATTGGCATTCCTTTTCAATGTCATCGCCGTGACCTTTAGGCTGCATCACAGTACAGGTCAAATTATCACAAACGATGCCACAATAACACAACGCATTTATATATATTTTTAATGACCAACTTCGTCATTGTGTTTATTTTTAATTACCACAGCCCACTGTCGATCCAGTGCTTGTCATGGCGGTTGTTGTTGTTGACCATACTTCACCACACCGGTCAGTGAGGGTTGGTATATAGATATTATTTTGCCAACACAA